CAGCAGTCCTCATTAACAAGACCCTCAATATGCTGGGGTTAGCGAGAGCCTGGGAAGACTGGGAAAGAATGTGCCCTATTAAGTACAAATGGCGTGTTTATGCTGAAGTGCTAGATAGGGATGTCATTTAGCGTGGGGCTGTGTGAGACGCTGGTCTGTTTGGACGAGATATCAGCAGCAGGGAGCGTTATTGGTTCACTTTAACTGCTGAGATGAATGTCCACATAGTGTTTCAATGGAGCAGATCCCCTCTGGATAAACAATGTTGGACTTCTCAAAGCGCAATAAAGTCCGTCGGTCCCCGTAATCTAGCCAGACCCTCCAAACCGGGGGTCTCCTTCAAATGTATTAATAGTGGAGGTCAAATCCAGAGAGCAGCCTGTGATTGGATGCAACAGCTTAAGTCACATGGTCACACGATCCGAACGCCATCCCGGCTGCAAAAGAATTCCAGACGTGGGCCGGGGATTGAGGGAGTTAAGGGTGATAGAGTAAAAGCCAAGTGATGTGGTACTAATTAGCTAATGATTATGAGGAAGGTTTAGCACCGCTGCACCCCTGTGACCCTTTTAACAGATTTACATGCTGCCAGGGGGCTTTTAAAGCAAGGAGGAGGCTTGGAAACTGTACAGTGCTGAGATGTCGTGTGTGGTACTCGAGTGTGTTTAGCTCTGGGCAGTCCTCTATCTCTGCGCTAATGGCCTTTTAGTTCGTTAGAGGCTAGCCTAATTGGCAACTCGGCCGGTGTTGTTTGGAAGAGGCGCGGCTGCGAAATGTGACGGGGCTGCGAAATGTGACAGACCAATCTGTGGCAGCGGAGGCTCTCGTCGCACAGTCTGACACCGACGCCACCTTTCAAACAATCTGCCGGCAGCCGGCTACGTTCCCCTCGCAGTCGCGGCGGGCCGTGTTTTAAGCCTGTGTCATCGCGGTGCGGGTCCGGGTGAAAAGCGCCTTTCCGTGCCCGTGATCGATCACCTGCCTGTCAGCTTTTAGCATCAGCTGAAGGCGGAATGGGAAATGGACGTGCCAACACCTTGCTGATGTGCTGCAACTGGACAAGGGACTCTCTGAACTCTCTCTGTCTCTCTCTCTCTCTTGTTTTCTTTGCTGAGGTTCAAGACTCGCTCATGATAATGCCTGTATCTAATTTCATTGTTGGGATAGAGAGGTCTTAAGTCACAAAGTTTAGTAGTTCGGTGGAGAAACACTGCACAAAGTCAGTGGAAGTTGACCACAAAAATGGACACTTCTTGTTTCCTAACTTCGTTATGTTTCCAGTTAAAGGACACATCTGAAGCTGATTGTTAAATTCAGTCATTTAGCCTTGTCATCTTTTTTTAATTTCATGGGGGAGGATTTCTTGAAAAGCGCTGAGATGGGTAGGACTCAGCATGTCTTTCCTGTGACAGGAAAGGGGTCCAGCATCATTCTGGTAATTCCCAGTAGAAAGAGATTAAACAGAGAAGGCAACACTGCCAGGCTTTTATTTACAAGACCCAGCTTTAAGTTCCTCCACAAATGGTTTTGAATCATGTTGCAGTCATAGCCAGAGTCTGTGTTTGCATATGTAAGAGTCTTAAATTGCCAGGCAATCTCTCAAATGTTCCCCAGACTTGCAATGATTGCATTTTTATTTTTGTTTCTTCCATTTCTCTGCATCTGCAGCCTGTTACACACCCTGGTCCTAAACGGAGCCTGTGGATTTCCAGGAGTCTAACGATTGTTCCATCGACCTCTTGTTCACCTGCCCCACACCTGCTTTTATCTGTGTCAGCCACGCTCAGGACCTCTGTGTATCATACAGGAAATACTGATCTGAAAAAAGCGACACCCCGTTTACCTACTGGATGGAATTCGAGCTGCCCCCATATGGGTGCACAATGAGATAGAGGGATCAGTGCGATTCCACTAAAGCCTTAAGTGACTTTGTTGCTCTAGGGTAATCCAGGGTAATCCTGCAGGATTTGGGCAATGACGATCTAGGGGCACCTGACCCGGGGCGGGGGATGAGGATGGGAGGCGAACAGGCACATCTCACGGACCCCCTGAGCATTTATTCCGACACCTGGATTCGTGTGTGTGTTTATCTGCGGTGGTATGATGGCGTTCTGTGGTAAATCCCTGTTAAGTGTTACACCTGCAGTCTCCATACTACAGGAAGCTTTAAGTCCACGTGGTCTCACAGCACACAGTAAATCATAAATTGAAATCACTACCTTTAACTTAAAAGGTATAGTCTTTTTTTGTTACTGATTTATTCTCTTAATGCTGTCGGTTCCCATCACTCCTACAAAATAATAATAATAATAATAATAATAATAATAATAGATAGATAGATAGATAGATAGATAGATAGATAGATAGATAGATAGATAGATAGAATCTGAAACTGGAAATTCATATTTATGTGTAATAGTGTAATACGGAGAAATAGGGACTGTCATATAATAGTATGTAAATATGTAAGACGCGATGATAATTTAAGTCGTTTTGTTAAGTAGTCTTCGCTTGTTTCACTCTTATTATGCTTCCTATATTCTTGGTCAACCACTAACGTTACGGAAGTAATTGCTTTTTCTGAGCTATCAAATACACATTGCGGTGGTAATCAGGAAGTTATACAACACTGCTGGAAAGCTGAAGCTACTTAACCACGATTGGTTCCTTTAATCGATTAAGAAAAATTGAAACACGTTTCATATTAAACTGGATGATAGATCGCAGAAGTGTTTCGACAAAATATTCTATTAAAATGCATTGACTTTGAAAGTTTTAAAACTATCACATTGTTAATTACGTATAACCTTTTCCATGCATGAGTAAATGAGTTTGTGTAGTAGATATATAGTACAGTACCGTATAGCCTAACCTAGCCTATAGCGTTGTAATGTTTTAAAAAATCTTTTATTCATAGGAACGTGTTATTCAAGAACGCATAGGTATAGACTGCGAGTGTATTTTTGCTTGTTAGCTATTATTTTGTTAAGAAAGCGATCAAAACGGGCGTTAATAATATCGTTGTAAAACTGGTGGGGCTGGACGGGAAATGTGACATGCGTTAATAGGTAAGCAGCAGAGTCCCCCACCGTGCGTCACAATATCACTGGGAGTGATGGGTGAGCGCTGCTCCAAAGCCAGGGGTCAGTCGTAACTACGAGGGGATTTACTGACATCTGCCGGGATCGTGTCTGATCCTCTCTGCGTCGTGCCTTGTGACAGTGACGATTGTCCGCGCCTCACCCCTCTGAAAGAGGACTTTCACTATTGTTTCCAAACATATATTCTAATGCAAATTTTCCTGACACTCGAGGACTTGCAAACAGATGTGCGCCATTCATTTACGTTGTATCCTACTTCATTTGTTAGCGGATGTCTAAGAGGACGTTTTGAGAAATAATTAAGCATGTCTTTGAGTTCAATGTGGACTAAGTTACAAACACTCGGACATATATACATATAAATGATGAAAAATATATATGAATTCGGAATAATACCATATGAGCGAGAATACGTATTGGAATTTATTCACTGCTTGTTTTAATAATACGACTTCTTTAATAATTGCAACTTCTGAATGACCAAAAAGTCGCTTTCCAGCGAAGATGCTGAGTACGGGACCATTGCACTGCATGACGCGCATCCAAAACCAGCAAGATTATTTTCATTAATTAATTGATTTATATTTTATGCCTTATTCCTTTATAAAAGTAGAACATTATTAAAGAATATTCAAAATACATTTTTGTTACTTTATGAAAGGTTGTTGCTAAATATTATGTATTTATCTTCAGAATAGCACTTCATAACATTCAGAGTCAACAATAGGCTAGTAAAATATTTACAAAATGTATCCCTTTAAAATGCTCTGGGTTAGTTAAATCCTACATTAAAAGCATTTTATTTGAAGAGTCCATCCATAATCAAACTATGTAATTACGACTACAGGTATAGAAGCGAGATGATAAAACTGATATGATGAATTTCATTTTTCGATTAATTAACAGATAAAGTAAGACGATTTAATGGCATTAAATAGCATATAATGGAACTCTGAAACTGAATCATTAGGCAAGTCAAGTTTATTTATAGAGCACAATTCAGACGGAAGGCAATTCAAAATGCTTCACAAAGGCAAAAGGATACATTTAGCCTAAATAAAAGACTTTAAAATCACATTTAAATGACAAAAAGCCTAAAAGCCAAACAAACAAATAAATAGTTAACTGAAAACATTGTAGCGACAATGAATGACTAAACTGATTTAATTTAAAAGCTGCAACAAACTAACGTCTTAAGTCCTGAAAAGCATTTAAACTGCATGGCTACTTGTTGCTGGTGCTGTGTTTTATCTCGAGGCCAGTTTTTTACTTCTTTGCCCGGAACTGTACTGCTGTTTTGTTGTGCAACAATAAAAAAAATACAACAGCATTTGAGTGACCTGTTATTTCTAATAACGGTCTTTAAATTAAAGAAAAAAAATGAATGTTATCAAACTTTTTGCTGCTTTAACGTTACCTTTATTTAGGCTGACAGAATTATAGCACAACGTTTGCAGCATAGTTAATTAGAGATCTAACCTAATAAAAACAACAGGCCTTTTATGCGAATAATAATAAATCGGTATGTGAACTGCCGTTTTCCGTATTTGGAACATTAGTAGGCTATTAGGAGAGTAGTAAGTTTAATTTTAAGACTGAAATATGCGTACTACACCGTGGACAACCCAAATAAAAACGAGGACTACTAAAAGGAAATCTGTATAAATACACGTAATACGTGGTGATCACTTTTCAGTAAAACATTTTATTCGCTCAGTAATTTTTTCACCTCTGAAAATGATTTTTTTCCCCCTCTCTTTTCTGATAGGTCAGTATATATACATGGGCGATTTATCAACTGTCGGCTGCTGCCATAGGCTGGATCCGCTGTCAATCACACGCCTGCGGCTCGCCGCGTTACCCCGGCGCCGCGCAGGTTTTGCGCAGTGGCTTGGCTGATTGGCGACGGAGATGCGCCCGGAGAGAGCAGAAGCGCGAGGATTTAGAGGGACCCCGGAGTGCACCGGTTAATAATAAAAATACTAATTTAAATCATTATGTATATATGGCGATAGACATAGTCAGGTACAGAATCAGTTTCACACTCCGTAACACTATCCTCTTAAGTGCACTTTTTCTCTCTTTTTTGCACTTGCCGAATCTTTTAGCGATGTCTTTTGCTTTTTCTTCCAGGAATGAATAACTTTGCCAGTATGTCTGGCAGGACTGAAATTCTCATCCGAGAGTCTTATGGAATATAGCTTGGTTTGTCATAGTCTATATGTGGTCTTATTAAGCCCCGTGAAAAATAAACTCTTAATTTTGTGCATCATGTTTTTATTGTGGGTCTACATGCTATATTGCTGCGTCGGCTACAGTTCCACGATGCCAAGTTTTATGATGGACTCTGACCAAGGGAAGGACGGAGGTTTTGTCAGTGAAAATAAAGATGCACCGGGTAAAGACCTTGTGTCCAAATTGCTGCTAAGACCCAAGAGCCCACCGGCTCTGGATCCCGATTACAATTCACCTTCCGTCAGGACGGCTTCTCGGGAATTGTTGAATAATGATCTGGAAGCGGAGAAATCGGACGTTTGGGATGAAATCGGAGGGGAGCGGAGTTCCCTGGAACCGTGCGGCTTGTCGAGTTTCTCCAACGGGTCGGAGAGTAAAAAGCTGCCACAGGCGATCATCATCGGGGTGAAGAAGGGGGGCACGCGCGCGCTGCTGGAGTTTCTCCGCGTGCACCCGGACATCAGGGCCGTGGGAGCCGAGCCGCACTTCTTCGACAGGAACTACAATAACGGGCTCGACTGGTACAGGTAAGGCTTTCCTGCAGAATATCATCATCAGAAAAAAGTCACCTCACAGACTACTACAGCTAAGCCGGAAATTGTACTTAAATTTTATCTGAGGCTTTATAGGCAACCTGTTACAGTGTTCTGCTTTATAAAGTTAAAGGAGTTTGTGCCTGAGATAATTTGAACTCCACTTTAATTTTTTTCGAAGTAATGCAATTACAAATGTTATCCTCCTCAATATAAATTCTCTTCATTTTATATGCGCACTACCATAGAAATAATATACACACAGGCCTATATGGCTTTTCGTGTTATATGTGGGGAAAAGCAAATAAACAAATTCTTGTGGTAACTCGTTTAGACAACTTTACTGTATTGTTTAGTCTTTGGGGAAATAGATTTTCTAATTATTTGCATTCTAGTCACCTTTTCATTCAAAAAGTAATGTACAAAGTATTATAATATTATACAGGCCTAAATATGTACAATCAAAATATGTTTAAAATGTTATATATACCGCTTTGATTACCGCGGTATTAGGCAACTCGATCTTAATAGGCATTTTGCTTTGCCCGAAGATGTGTAACGAACTCCGGGTTGATTACAGACTGTTTAAGACATTTTAAAATAATAATTTTAAAATAATGTCACTGTTGCATATTTTGGCCTGGAGGTGTTTTTTTCCGAGGAATCAGCACTGTACACTGTGAACTAATCATAATGCCATAAACAATTAATAATTAAACACTTATTTTTGTTGCAATGGGTGAAGACAGCTTTTGTATTTTAACTCTAAGTTATATGTTGAAAAGCCACATTGATAAAGATAAATGAACGTGCATAAATCACAAATAAATCTTCACGCCTTGTTATATTGAGGGACACAGGAGCCATGGAAATAAAATAAAAAAATCTTTATCATTGTGACATTTTAAGAATTCTGTGATGAAAAATCACCAAGAGACTATAGCACCGACCGGTATTCTACGACAAATTCAATAAAACACGGAAGATATGTAGGCTTATACGTTTATTCCAAAGGGGGAGAGACAACTCGGCGGGTTTCTGAATGAAATAAGATTAGGATATAATAATCATTTTTATCTTCGAGTCTCTGGCACGGGTAATGTTCAGGACGATCATTTTAAAACCTCCATGTTTAATGATAAAAACAATTAAATTTTTATTTTAGTCAAATTGGAGAACTGTTTTTAAAACCTTTTAAAATTACGTGTTAAAATAGAGATCTTACAAGCGCAGATACTGATACTTTGCCAAGAGTTTCCAAAGAATTCATTATGGTGTTTCTGCGGTGTTCATTACAAGAGAAACAGCCACGATAACTGTGAAACGGGTCCACTGTTGGGAGTCTAACGTGGTTGTTTTTGTTGTCGGCCTTGTTCTTAAAAGCTTTGGGTCATTTTAAGCTTTGTTTTGTCTCCCAAGTTAACCTGCTGAAGTCTAAACTGCGGCCACCGGTATTACTTTCTTATCACTTAATCGCTAATGGCATAACTGACAACGTCAATATGTTTCACTAGGAAATACAAACGAATAGGTCTATCTAAAGCGATGTTGTTTTTTTTCCCGGCCAAATCAGGGACATGGCCCACAGTTAAATAATTACAGATGGGGATTAAGCAGGGTCTGTTGGAGATAAGGATGTCTTATAAAAATGGCAGACAAACAACATATGGCTGTAGTGCTAAACTGCAGTTAGAGGGTTCTATGTCAGTCAGGTTTAAGTGTGGACAGGCCGCTTCCAGTCACAGAACCGAGGTCTGCTGTGATCTGCCACGTGTATTAGGTTATATATATATACATGGACAAGCTGGATAGTCACATGGTTCTGAAGGAGGTGGAAACAGGGTCCGGTGGCCTAGTGTCTGTCTACGGCCAGTACATCCACATTTTAGGCCAGCTCGCCTGCAGCGCGGGACCAGGGATTTGAGAGATGAGCGCAGAACTCCCCTGAATCGCACCTCTGAGGTCCTGCGGCTCTGCTCACCACATGCAGGCCTCGTTCCGCGAGCGTCGGCAGACAGGGCTTGAGACGCTGGCTGGGAGAGTCTGCTCTGCTTTCGGAGAACCCACTTTACAGTAATGCCCCCGAATCATGCTAATCTCAAAGCTGCCTAGCATGGGGGCCATTTACTGATCCCTCCGACGTAATCCTTTGCTGTAACATTACTACAGTCAGTTTCCTTTGAACGTACTATATTATTCGTTTCTTAAGTTACTTTACATTTATTGTGTTTTGTCATCTTCATTATACACGTAATCTAACTGCCGCTATACTTAAGAACATAAGAACTATACAAACGAGAGGAGGCCATTCGGCCCATCGAGCTCGCTTGGGGAGAACTTAACTAATAGCTCAGAGTTGTTAAAATCTCATCTAGCTCTGATTTAAAGGAACCCAAGGATCCAGCTTGCACTACGTTATCAGGAACAACGTACATAACAGTCGTTAGCGTCGCTTTTTGCGTTTTCGGTGGGGCTCCGCAGGTTAAGCCGGCGTGCCTGTAATCGGAAGGTCGCCGGTTCACGCCCCGGCAGAATAGCCACGTCTTACCCCCCCCCCAGCTCCTTGGGCGCGGCTGCAGACGGCTGCCCTTCATTGCCAAGCTCGCTCTCACCTGCATGTGAGTCTTTGTGTCACGGAGAGCAAGATGGGGTCGGCAAAAAATGAATCTCCCCAAAGCAATCAACAAAGTGTCATTATTATTATTATTATTATTATTATTATTATTATTATTATTATTATTAACTCACTAGAGACACACCCGAGAATTCTTACATTTGTATAAGTATGGAATTATAAAAGTACAAAATTTCTTATATACATTTCTTATTAAAATGTGTTTATAAGGCAGGAGGCCATCCTTAACTCTAAAAAATAAATGCCATCAAAGAAACATTAAGATTAATGTGTGTGAGTATAAGTGAGGGAAATAAAGAATGAGAAATGAGTGTTTTTTATTATTGCAAACAGTTTCTCTGTTAAAACACACCGGCGACTCCCTAAAAGAGAGATTGCCCAAAAATGGTTAATCATTGGCCTAATCCTTAAGCACACTCAGCGAGGAGAGACAGCGCTTTCTTCAAAGACTGGACCCGTGAGACTGACACGGCCGTAAATGTGCGCGGGTCTGCTGGCCGTCCTGGTGGGGGCGGGTAGTTAATGCTGATAGGGCCAGCGGGTCGTTAAGAGCGCGTTAAAAAACAGCTAATGGGTCTTTTATTAGGCAGGAGCTTCAGTCAGCGATTTGCAAATTGAGCAAAAAGCAAATGGATGCTTTACGATCTTCTTTATCAAGAACGGTTTCTCAGGATGCTGCATATTTGCAGAGCTTGCCGCAGGGATAGCCCACCGCCAGGTTCTGTGCCAAAGTCAGCGCGGTGTGGAAACTAAATCGCCGAGTCTCTCCCTTTGTTGTGAAATTGACATTGTCTGCATTCTGCTCTCGGCCGAGAGGGACAGGCTCTCGGAACCGACTCGAGTCTCGCGAGCGGGAGTTCATTCGTTACTGGCAGGCAGCTGGCTCACTTCTCGCCCCGTGGAAAGTTTAGATAAGCGATTCTTTTAGGGAAGATAAACAGACGACCAGCAGGACTTCTTCAGAGGAGAGGAAACCATATTTCATCATTAATATCCCAAGCCCTTCTATAAATGTCAGACACTAACAGTCAGCGATGAGACGAGCGGTTAATGAGTGAGGCTTACAGGGCAGTGCTGGGGTGGGGGGGGGGGGGGGGGGGGGGGGG